GATTTATTCGCTGTACAAAATGGTATAGCGCTGTACCGTATTGCGGTATAGCGTTCTCCCGTATTGTGATATTGCGTTATACAGTATTAAAATATTCGTTGTTCAGTATTGAGGTATTCGTTGTGCCGTATTGAGGTATGCGTTGTTCCGTATTGTGGTATAGCGCTGTCCCGAATTGAGGTATATTCTTTGTACCATATTGACGTATAGCGTTGAACGTTATTGTGGTATTGCAATGTTCCGTATTGAGCTATTGGTTGTGGTAAAGCGTTGTACCGTATTGTGGTAAAGCGTTGTACCGTATTGAGGTATTCGTTGTACAATATTGTGGTATAGCGTAGTACCGTATTGAGGTATTGCAATGTACCGTATTGAGGTATTCGTTGTACGGTATCGAGGTATTCGTTGTACAGTATTGTGGTATTGCGCTGTACCGTATGGTGGTATTGCAATGTACAGTATTGAGCTATTCGTTGTACACTATTGAGGTATTCATTGTGCATTTTTCAGGTATTCGTTGTACAGTATTATGGTATAGCATTGTACAGTATTGAGGTATTGCAATTTACAGTATTGAGCTATTCGTTGTACACTATTGAGGTTTTCATTGTACATTTTTTAGGTATTCGTTGTACAGTATTGAAGTATTCGTTGTACAGTATTGAGGTATTGCATTTTTTGTACCGTATTGAGGTATTTGTTGTACCGTATTGAGGTATTCGTTGTACCGTATTGAGGTATTCGTTGTACAGTATTGAGGTATTCGTTGTACAGTATTGAGGTATTCGTTGTACAGTATTGAGCTATTCGTTGTACAGTATTGAGGTATTCGTTGTACCGTATTGAGGTATTGCATTTTTTGTACCGTATTGAGGTATTTGTTGTACCGTATTGAGGTATTTGTTGTACCGTATTGAGGTATTCGTTGTACAGTATTGAGGTATTCGTTGTACAGTATTGAGGTATTCGTTGTACAGTATTGAGGTATTCGTTGTACAGTATTGAGGTATTCGTTGTACAGTATTGAGGTATTTCCTTTTTTTGTACCGTATTGAGGTATTTGTTGTACAGTATTGAGGTATTTGTTGTACCGTATTGAGGTATTCGTTGTACAGTATTGAGGTATTCGTTGTACAGTATTGAGCTATTCGTTGTACAGTATTGAGGTATTGCATTTTTTGTACCGTATTGAGGTATTTGTTGTACAGTATTGAGGTATTTGTTGTACCGTATTGAGGTATTTGTTGTACAGTATTGAAGTATTCGTTGTACAGTATTGAGCTATTCGTTGTACAGTATTGAGGTATTCGTTGTACAGTATTGAGGTATTCGTTGTACAGTATTGAGGTATTCGTTGTACAGTATTGAGGTATTCGTTGTACAGTATTGAGGTATTGCTTTTTTTGTACCGTATTGCCGTATTGCGTCCCCTTGGATTGGTGAAGAGGATAGATGTCGAAAATACATCTAAGGCAACTTTTCATCTTTAAAGAGTTTGCAGATTTTCCCAAGCGACTAGCTTGAGATTTACCGACAAGGAGTCGTTCGTGTAGGTCAGTTGAGAAAAAAGATCATGCTTGAAGTGTCTTGTGTTGCCTGGTAAAACATGTAGAAGGCTTTATTCCCTGATGAAATCAGCCAATGAACGTCGAGGCATCGAAATCCCCAGAACGGGTAGGGGAAGCGTTCAGAGCTGATTTTTGTGTGTCGAAAACGATCGCAAACAACAAGTTTCGAATGTAGATAAATAAAGTCCGCCCTTACATTGTTATGCTCCCCAGCATCACGGCATCTTCAGCTAAAGCAATTTCGGGTGTGGGTTTTCACTTTCACAAATCGAACTTTCGAAAGGAAGTGGTGACGGAATGAAGGCAGGAAACCATTGACAGTTCGTTCGTCCTGATAATGGTTCTGGGTTTAACACCGTTACCTTCCTCGTGGTTTCCACAAAATTAGTAAAAGTCTTGGACCAGCCCACATCCGTGAAGATCCGGATTAGAACAGGTCTTCAGCACCCCATGCTTACCGTAACAGGCGACTATGCTTGTTGTAAGAGGCGACTATGCTTGTTGTAAGAGGCGACTATGCTTGTTGTAAGAGGCGACTATGCTTGTTGTAAGAGGCGACTATGCTTGTTGTAAGAGGCGACTATGCTTGTTGTGAGAGGCGACTATGCTTGTTGTAAGAGGCGACTATGCTTGTTGTAAGAGGCGACTATGCTTGTTGTGAGAGGCGACTATGCTTGTTGTAAGAGGCGACTATGCTTGTTGTAAGAGGCGACTATGCTTGTTGTAAGAGGCGACTATGCTTGTTGTAAGAGGCGACTATGCTTGTTGTAAGAGGCGACTATGCTTGTTGTAAGAGGCGACTATGCTTGTTGTGAGAGGCGACTATGCTTGTTGTAAGAGGCGACTATGCTTGTTGTAAGAGGCGACTATGCTTGTTGTAAGAGGCGACTATGCTTGTTGTAAGAGGCGACTATGCTTGTTGTAAGAGGCGACTATGCTTGTTGTAAGAGGCGACTATGCTTGTTGTAAGAGGCGACTATGCTTGTTGTGAGAGGCGACTATGCTTGTTGTAAGAGGCGACTATGCTTGTTGTAAGGGGCGACTAACGGGTTTTGATGGTCAGGCTCGCTGACTTTTTTTTACTTTTTTTCTTTTGTTTTTTATTGTTCCCAGAGTTGGAGATTAATACAGTTTTCCGTCAAAAACATATTTCGGATAGCATAGAATGGTACAATACACTCATTAAAAAATTAGAGGGTTGGAAATAAACATTGTCCTATTTCAAACCAAAACACACAATCAGACACAAACATGGCCTGTATCAACAGAGAGTTATTTTTGTCATCCTTTTTAATAGAAATAAATTTTTCGATTGAGTATATGTTTTTAAAAAAATTTAAAAGTATATCTAATTTCGGTTTGGTTCCCTTAATTCCACTTACATGAATATGCCTTTTCCCAATAAAACTATATGATTGATTAAAGTATTAGAGTAGTTACAACCATACCAAATAAGATATTTTGTCAATTTAATTTTTTGTGGAAGACAATTACTAAACCAAAGTTCAAGATCATTCCAAAATTGTTTAGTTTCATTACATTCCCAAAAGACATGGCTGACGTCCTCATTGACAGCATTACAAAAGCTACACACACTGTTGTCCACAAGATTCATTGTTAATAGTTCCTTCTTTGTGTAGATAATTCCATGTAGAAATCTGTATTGAAAATCTAAAAGTTTTACATCCTTCAGTTTACATCTATAAACCGTAAATATCGTTTTCCTATTAAAATCACAGTGAAAATTTGATTGCCATTTATCACAAACTTTAAGATTTCTTTCATTTGATATTAATTTATCATAAAAGTTTCTAACGCCTTTAACAGGCTTCATCAGATCACTTAAGCAACTGTTTACATACAAATTCTGTAAAATTATTTTTCTAGTTTTCTCGATTGTTGTTTTCCAGGATTCTTGTATATTGAAGATTACGTATCTATAGTCTAATATTGTACCTTTTATCGGATATTTTAGTTTTCAGCTCTTCAAATGACATCAATCCGTTTTCATTGCATATATCTTTAATTGAGTAAATTCCACTATTAGCCCATTGCTTTATGTAGTATAAGGCTTGTTTAAAGTTGTGGTTGAGCCATAATGGTTGGGACAGAATTTCTTCTATATTATAAACATTAATTATACTATTTTTACAAAAGTCGTTCCAAGCTTTTCCAATACATTTTTCCAGTAGGGAATTTTAGCAAAAGATGGCTTGTCAACATTAGCACCCAAAGAGAGTATGTCTTTAATCGGAATATTACAAGGGTTACTATATGTTGTTGTTTTACAATATAATCTGAGCGAAGAGTTTTAGTGCGTCAATAAAGGCTCTAATGTGAACCATGCGTAATCCACCTTCCTCGTGTTTTCTTGTCAAAGTGGCCCTTTTGATTTTGTCTTTTTTATTATTCCAAATAAAATTGTAAAGTATTTTGTCAAGTGATAAGACAAAGTCCTCAGGAGGGTTAGGTAGTGCCGAAAATATATGAACTAGTATTGAACAGGCTGAACAGGCTCGCTGACTTGGTTGATGCATGTCATCGTATCCAAATTGTGTGAATCGATGTTCATGATGTCAATCACTGGATTGTCTGGTCCAGACCCGATTATTTACAGACCGCCGTCATATAGCGGGACTATTGCTGAGTGCGGCGTTAAACAACAAACAAACAAATGGACCCGCCCACATTGAGCTGACACGCCGTGACCTATCTGACCTATAGACGCGGCGGGTACAGCCCGGCTCCCTCACAACCTACAAGATGATGACGTTTTCTGAATGTGGCATTTAAATGAGAAATTTCCGTTTTGAAATTAGACCTTCACGCATTGGCTTTCCAAGATGAGGTGGTGAGGTGAAATGGGGTTTAACGTCGCTTCCAAGATTATTGCACTTATATAGCGACGTGTATGTACGTGTGTGTGTTTGTGTGGCTGCTTGTACTAGTCCGGGCTGGTGCCGAATTATAGTGCTAGCCCACTTAGATACCATGCCGCAGTTTAACATGAATACCACACTCAGACACAGTATACTGACTCCGAGCCGACCAATCCTTGTTTTAGCGCAAGACAGGGTAACAACAAGTACCATCTTTTAACGTCTTTTGGTATGACGCGGGCCGCGATCGAATCCCGGACGCTCTACCACTAGACCACGGAGGCGGTCGACTTTCCAAGGAATAACAGGACCAAGGAATACCAATCTCACTGACAAGAGAGTGTCATCACACAGGTTGTAAGTCATATCATCAATACACTACAACGATCTTACCTTGCTGGAGATTGATTAACATTAATTACTGGAATAGCGTGTAAACCGGTACATGACACTGTTGTTTTGTATGTGTATGTGTACTTCAATATGTTTTTTGTCACCTGTGAAGGGTGGTATTCTTCTTAGTAATATTGTCATGTAATCTTTATTGTTTCAGCTAAACCCGTAACGGAAGAAGGGCAACTTGTGCACACTTAGACAAATAAAACAAAGCTACCGAGATTCGAAAGATCGAACCTTATCGCCATGCCGTATTCCAACGAGGAAAAGGATAAATTACTGACAGATATTTTAAATGTTCTTGTTGAAAAGGAAACAAAGGAAAAGGCCGAGGTGGTAAGAACGCTGAACGCCCTGGCGGATGATTTGGACAAACACACGCGGAACACCAAGATTGCGGATTTGACGTTTGCGTCAACTGGGATAGTTGCAAGTGGACTGACCATAGCAGGGGTCGCCACAGCCCCCTTCACCTTCGGAACCTCCCTGGGGCTGACCATAGGGGGTTTGGCCTTGGGCGTGTCCAGCGGTGTCGGAACAATCGGCAACACCATCGTTGGAAAACTGATTAGAAGCAAGACTTTCAAGCAAGCCCAGGAAGCAAAGGACAGGTATTTTGACACATCAAACCAACTGATTAAATTTGCTAAAGTCCTCAATGAAAGCGGTAATAATGAACTTTTGTTTGTGGACTTGACACACGAAACTTTTGGCCTCTCTCAGTCTACCTATGTCGAAAATGCATCTTTAGGTTTGCGAACGACAGTAGGGCCAGTAGGCCAAGGGCTGAGATTTGCTGCAGTTGCCTCCGCCATAGCGACAAGAGAAGCGTTAGAAGCCACAAGCAGGACACTCGCTGGTGTTTTAAAGACTGGCCTGATGGCTGCAAAAGTTGCCGGTGCAGTGATATCCACTTTGAGTGTCCCCCTGGATATCTACACTATAATTGTCAACAGTAAGGACATCCACCACAAGACGCCAGCGGAAGGTGCACAAGAGATCCGAATGGCAATGCATAATATTGCGCATTTGAAAGTCATCAGTGGTAAGTAAACAGACCCTATCCGTTCTCTTTACGGCTGATGATATTTAAATATATATTTAAAAAATACATCAAATTCCAGGGTTCATTATCTTCGTTATCGCTACACTAGGCTGTGTGTAAACAGGGATGACTTTAACTTTCCAGTAGTCAGCCTAGCCTTTGTGTCAAGGAATATTCCAACAGCCCCGACCTTTCTATATTTCTCAACGTTTGAGGAACGATGTCAGATGCAATTCTATAATTGTGACTTCCCGGGTTTGTTCAGGTGAACAATTGACTTGCCTTGGCATGTGTTTGTGACTGGCGCCATCGGTGGGGCATGAAACGCTCACCCTTTCGTGAATACCTGGTATCATCACTATTTAATAGTGATTCATAAACACATGCTCATGAAATAGTCGGAATCGTGCAATGGACTCTGTTTTAGAGATCTTTTACGAAATGGAACATATTTTATCGCTTGTATTATTATTATTGATATGTACAGATTAAAATTAAAAATGCAGCAAAGAGGGTTTGGGTGATCCTGGCACAGTCAGGCTGGTTAGGCTAATCATAAGCTCAGGGCTCTTGTCTCCTCTACACGCAGCCGTTACAGCGTATGGGACTTCTCCCAGGAAGCGCTGCCTAAAGTACTGTCGGCAATGCTAGAAAACTGCTTTTCTGGCTTCATTTAATAAATACGAGTCATAGGACTATAAAAAGAGCATATATCAAAATAACGCGAATTGCCCTAATCTAGCCTGTCCTAACTGACACTGTGATTACTCTTAAAATGTACTTTTACAGGTAAAATGATGATCAACTTAGAAAATATTCGTGTGTTGTCATGCATGTATGAAATGACCTATAACCTGAGGTAATTACCTAACACCTGTCCCGAGGTGATGACCTCACACCGTCCCGTGCATTCTCCCAGGTGCAAATGTCACCGAGTTGGGATGGTCTCAAAAAATTGCTGTTTTTGTACTTAATTGACATGCGTGGATGAGGTAGCAATTTTGGACATGTACTGCATTAACTTTGCTTGGAAACACGATGGACTAGTTAAGAGCTATGAAACGGGATAAGTATTGGAAGGTTGTCGTTTTGGAATCCAGAAGTATTTGTTGTTCTACAGATGGTTTGTTGAGGTAGCATTTATCTCCGCTGATGACGTATATGAATCTGTACTTTTGAATGTTGTGTTATGTCTTGCCACGAACCCTGTACATTTAGCCAAGATAGACACAACAGGGTTGAGCTCACAATGTCCGACTGCCGTACGTAAGACAACGTAACCGTGTTGTGCCGCCAGCACATATGTCTTGTACTTTACTGGTTTCTTATTCCATGAGTTGAACTTTCGTTTCATATGGTTTGAAGTCAACCAATGTCATATATTCCTGTATGGTCGCCTTCAGACTACTCATGGTTTGGGCGACAGTATCTGATTCCCGGACGTTATATTAACTGGCGTTATCCATGACAATCACACTGACGTTGTTTAAAATGGGCAATAGCTGAAGTTCCAACCAGCCTATGAACACATCACCTCCTATTATTTCCTTATGAAAATCACCAGTTTTCTTTTTCGCCTCGAAAACATCCATCAATAAGCCCCATATCATGGGTTGCAGCGTGCAAAACAATGACACGATTACCTTTACCTGATGGTACCATGGGTGCCTTTTTGTCCATCTGCCAATAGCCACATGAAGTCAGTGGAATGATTTATCAAGGTAAATTATCTAGACGTCCTGACTGTGATAGTTATGAATGGTTCCGGGATAATGTGACCTCAGACAGGATGGAATATTTTCCCCTGAAAAGTGCTCGGTCATCGCCACGCGCGGTGTATCGAAATCCCATCTCTTGGAGAGCAATAGTTAGTGCAGTCCGGGAAACATTAATTGTATCTTTAATTCCTCCCAAATTTTACTACAAGTCAGTGTTACCTTCTGCCCATAAAGCTTGTACACTATACGCCTAATCACCCTGTATCAAAGCTGTCTAATATCCATTTACGCCCCAGTTTTGTTTTTGAGACCACCCCTATACCTGTTTTGTTTTCTTATCATAACGTAGACTTGATGGTATGAATTGAAAACACCATAGCTTGGGCAGGTCGGTAATTGACCCTATCTGAATTAATAAATGGTTTCCCTCTATCTCTCTAAAGTAAAGAACTTCTATGCATTTCCAAGTACAGACTCCATATCGTGTACCTTGGTTATGGCTATGCAAGTGTAATGTAACATTTCCCAGTACAGATTCCATATCGTGTACCTTGGTTATGGCTATGCAAGTATAATGTAACATGCATCATGGGAGCAATGTTGACAAAAAAAACGCAGCTTCATTTTGTCATTTTAGAAGATGCACATCTAGAATTTTTCACAAAATGATTTTTGTGTGTGGAGTAGATGTCTTATGAAGACTACATTATTATCATTGTAACGGAATCACGTGCGCATATTTCTTTAGTCCGTTTCAGACTGCCATTATTGGACTTAGAATAAATGTGAACTTCCTGTTTCGTTCGAAATTGTCTCCTGTAAACTTGTCGATAGGACTCCTTGTGACTGAAATACTTTAAACCACAGGTAGGGCGATCGGTAGTTATTCGATATTTCAATAACAACACTCTGTGAAAAATTATATCCCTTTTTAACAGGCAAAAAGCAGTTTTCTAGCATTTCCGACAGTACTTTAGTCAAACCCACCCAGAACTTGTGAAGACTCCCCAACACTGCAGCCTTCTGCATTACCAAGATTATCAGAAGGGCTGTATTCCTGGTAGCAAACCCGGGTACCCGGTTTTTTATTATTATTATTATTATTATTATTATTATTAAAATCATTATTATTGTTGTTGTTATTGTAATAATGGAAAGGGTTTTGTCGGGTTTTCAAAATTTAGTCCTTGTGTTGATAGTATCCATTCACGTGTTAGTGTCATTCCTAAACTCCGTTTTCTCCAGATGATCCTTCAAGAATGCAGATTAGTTCTGACAGAAAGAACATAGACTACTCAAATGATGGTAAGTAGAACAGTTTATTTGTGGCGAAAGATGGTAATGTCGTGGAAGTTTAACAACTTTAGCGAAAGATGCCACCATGGCGCCGCTCAAGGTGATACTAGGGGCGAATGTGGGGTTTAGACACTGCGCCACAGGACAACATATCGGTGCGTTGCTGTCATGAACGCAGTGAGTTCCCGGCGCGACCCGCAACCAGTATTTGCTGTGTGATGAAATGGAAACGGATTGATAACCTTAAAGTCAACGCAAACTATGTGTAGAGTATTGCTGTGTGATGAAATGGAAACGGATTGATAACCTTAAAGTCAACGCAAACTATGTGTAGAGTATTGCTGTGTGATGAAATGGAAACGGATTGATAACCTTAAAGTCAACGCAAACTATGTGTAGAGTATTGCTGTGTGATGAAATGGAAACGGATTGATAACCTTAAAGTCAACGCAAACTATGTGTAGAGTATTGCTGTGTGATGAAATGGAAACGGATTGATAACCTTAAAGTCAACGCAAACTATGTGTAGAGTATTGCTGTGTGATGAAATGGAAACGGATTGATAACCTTAAAGTCAACGCAAACTATGTGTTGAGTATTGCTGTGTGATGAAATGGAAACGGATTGATAACCTTAAAGTCAACGCAAACTATGTGTAGAGTATTGCTGTGTGATGAAATGGAAACGGATTGATAACCTTAAAGTCAACGCAAACTATGTGTAGAGTATTGCTGTGTGATGAAATGGAAACGGATTGATAACCTTAAAGTCAACGCAAACTATGTGTAGAGTATTGCTGTGTTCCCTTGTTGTTTATATATCAGTATATCAACATCAGTAGAGTCGTGAAGATCAGGGTAGAGTTAATAGTTCTTCAGCAATTAATGCTTGCCGTAAAAGGCGACTATGATTGTTGTAAGAGGCGACTAACGGGATCGGGTGGTCAGGCTCGCTGACTTGGTTGATGCATGTCATCGATCCCAATTGCGTGGTTCGATGCTCATGGTGTCAATCACTGGATTGTCTGGTCCAGACTCGATTATTTACAGACCCCCGCCACATAGCTGAAATATTGCTGCGTGCGGCGTTAAACAACAAACCAACCAACCAACACTCTCGTACATGCCATGTTGTGTTTCTACAGCCTTACAGTCCATGCTATCAGGGAATGAAGACTTGAAACGACTTTTGTTCTGCACAAACTGCTTTACCAGAGAAACAGACATCATCTGTTTGCCGTGTGGTCACGTTACCTGCTGCTCGCACTGTATCCGACACTTCAGCACGTGTGGCACGTGCAAGGAACGTGTTAGGGGCGTGTCTGGAAATCTGACAGGTATCAACCGAACAGAATGAACATAATATTATTGATTATTTTTCGTTAAAGGTGAGCTATTTCTGGACTTGCCATGTGCAACAGAATGGTCACCACTGAATAATAGTATCTATATTTCTGTTCGCAGTTCCCTATTTGCATATTGTGTATTTAGTCTACTGCCTTGAGATAGATGTCCGTGTGTCCAGGACATGGATGAAAATGACATTTCTCTCGGCTCACACAGAGTACATTTATGTGGTAGTTTCATGGATCTGGAGACATCGCTTCCATTGTAATTACGCTATCATGTCACAGGAGTTTCTGATCACTTGACTTTCTACAGGCCCAGTCCCATGTGACGTCACGCAACAAACAAACACGAACCTTTCCGTGCAAGTTGTGTGAGCGGCGGAGGCTACCGGTGTGCGAACACCTGGTGTCATCACTCATTTTGAAATTCGGTGATCCATTCCTATAATTGTCACCGCTATTTTACGAAATCGCGGGTAATTGAGACTGGCGGTGACGTTTTGAATAGAAACCATTAAACCACTCGGACCCGCTCCGCGCCTGCTCATTCCAATGATATCGGATCCGCTTGGTCGAACTTATACCTAATCTGAGATAAGATCTGTTCTTTTTTATTTACAGACAGCGTCAGGGAGGCACTATGTTTGATGTTTGAGAAACGGGACACAGTATCCGTTCCAGGTACGTAATGCTCTCACAGCTCGCCAAGGGCGCCAAGTCACAGGTACGTCATGCTCTCACAGCTCGCCCAGGGCGCCAGGTCACAGGCACGTCATGCTCTCACAGCTCGCCAAGGGCGCCAGGTCACAGGTACGTCATGCTCTCACAGCTCGCCCAGGGCGCCAGGTCACAGGTACGTCATGCTCTCACAGCTCGCCCAGGGCGCCAGGTCCCAAGTACGTAATGCTCTCACAGCTCGCCCAGGGCGCCATGTCCCAGGTACGTAATGCTCTCACAGCTCGCCCAGGGCGCGCTCGTCACGATATGGCTGAAATACTGCCGATGTGACGTTAAATCTTAACTCACTCACTCACTCGCCCAGGGCGCCAGGTCCCAGGTACGTCATGCTCTCACAGCTCGCCCAGGGCGCCAGGTCCCAGGTACGTAATGCTCTAACAGCTCGCCCAGGGCGCCAGGTCCCAGGTACGTAATGCTGTCACAGGTACGTCATGCTCTCACAGCTCGCCAAGGGCGCCCAGGTCACAGGTACGTAATGCTGTCACAGGTACGTCATGCTCTCACAGGGCGCCAGGTCACAGGTACGACATGCTCTCACAGCTCGCCCAGGGCACCAGGTCACAGGTACGTAATGCTCTCACAGCTCGCCCAGGGCGCCAGGTCACAGGTACGTCATGCTCTCACAGCTCGCCAGGTCCCAGGTACGTAATGCTCTCACAGCTCGCCCAGGGCGCCAGGTCCCAGGTACGTAATGCTGTCACAGGTACGTCATGCTCTCACAGCTCGCCCAGGGCGCCAGGTCACAGGTACGTAATGCTGTCACAGGTACGTCATGCTCTCACAGCTCGCCAAGGGCGCCAGGTCACAGGTACGTTATGCTCTAACAGCTCGCCCAGGGCGCCAGGTCACAGGTACGTCATGCTCTCACAGCTCGCCCAGGGCGCCAGGTCACAGGTACATCATGCTCTCACAGCTCACCCAGGGCGCCAGGTCACAGGTACGTCATGCTCTCACAGCTCGCCCAGGGCGCCAGGTCACAGGTACATCATGCTCTCACAGCTCGCCCAGGGCGCCAGGTCACAGGTACGTCATGCTCTAACAGCTCGCCCAGGGCGCCAGGTCTCAGGTACGTCATGCTCTCACAGCTCGCCCAGGGCGCCAGGTCACAGGTACTTCATGCTCTCACAGCTCGCCCAGGGCGCCAGGTCCCAGGTACGTCATGCTCTCACAGCTCGCCCAGGGCGCCAGGTCCCAGGTACGTCATGCTCTCACAGCTCGCCCAAGGCGCCAGGTCACAGGTATGCCCTCTACATGCGAGTGTACAAATTATAAATCCTTAAGGCAACGTTTATTCATAAAGGACATATATAATTCGTAATTGTGACAGGAAATGTAACATATTACCATTGTGAGGTTTTAATGACCACCATGTTCGCATGACTATAATGAATAAGTTGAGTATGGTTTTACGTCGCTTTAATGAGTAAGGGAGGAGTAATTATATACCGACCCGTGTAGATCCGGGGTAGAACAGGTCTTCAGTAACCCATGCTTGCCGTAAAAGGCGACAATACTTGTCGTAAGAGGCGACTAACCTGATCGGGTGCACTGGTCAGACTCGCTGACTTGGTTGATGCAGTCATCGTATCCCACTTGTTTGGATCGATGCTCATGATGTCAATCATTGGATTGTCTGGTCCAGACTCGATTATGTACAGACCGCCGTCATAAAGCTGGAATATTGCTGAGTGCTTCGTTAAACAATAAACAAACTAACAAACAAAAGAATATTACCCATTTGTAGATCGATATAGACAATTTATCATCTTACAGTGGGGACACGGGTTCGTAAGAGACGACTAAATGGTCGTCAGGGTCGGTGAATTGATTGATGGACGGTGCTTATAGTATCAGTCACTGGATTGTCGATTACGACAAGCCACCGTTATATAGGTCATATTTATGATTACAGAACTGGACACGGATTGGGTCATTTTGGACGAAGTAGATTGTCCAGATGACGTAGTTGTCGCTACAGAAAGAAGACACGACGAGATCCAACCGACCATCTGACCACTCGTGTGAATTATATTGTTTTATAAAACACGCATACATCCTATAGGATCCCTACCCTTCCATGGGGATCTCCCTACCCTTCCATGAGGATCTCCCCGAGAGCAGACATCCGGGCTACGGCCAGACCGATGCAGTGAACTGGAACTGCGCCAGGAAGAACTGCTTAAACTTGGAATGTGTTTCAATATATGGGGTTGTCTCAAAATCAAACTGAGGAATATTCTTTTGCGAGTCGTGAGTCCGTCTTCGACTAGGGTTGACAGTTGGTGAAATAGACCTTTACAAGTTGAACCTGGTGCATCTCCGAGTTTACTCCTGGAGTAAAGACTTGGTATGAGCAGGAATGGCGGTCAGCCCTAGGAAAATGCCAAACAACGTCAGAAAGTGCTTTTATATCCGCCGTGTCGCCTGGTAATCCAGCTTGTCGGTACTGATGTACAGATCGGTTAATAACCTGCCTGTCAAGGTAGTAATGTTTTTTCCGGGCATATTTCTATATTATCAATGACTGTTTCAAATCATGAACACACAATGCCATTTATAAAGTGTTCAAATCTAACAAATATTATGTTTGGGTTAACACTTTCTGAGTAAAGTACAGATCCTCGTAATTTTTAGGGTTGAGTCCCATAGGGGATTACAACCCACACTGCGAGAGTGAGGCACCTAATCGCCAGCACACAAAGTCAGCGGCCTAACCCCTCAGCCACCGAGGCTTCAACAAAAGTGAAAGTACGATAACTGGGATTCTAGATCACGTACCTTGAGTACCCCTCTGACAAGTGTAAATTGGCACGGCTCCCATGGCCGATATCAACGAACACACAGGGACAAACGTTGTATTTGGGATGAGACTTTCTTAGTAAATTACAAAAGCCCACAAACCCCCAAAGTACTAGAATCTGTACTTTACTAAGAAAGAGTTATTCCAAATAAAACATTTGTTATGTTTCAAATCAATGATATAATTTTCTACAGACAACTTAATATTTGCATAATGAGACTTACATATAAATATTGAACATGAAGGTTCTGAGCTTCATATACAGGATCAGTATTATCTTAATAACCATACAATAATGAATTGATTGAAAGGGGTCGTTTTGTATACTTATTAAGGAATATTTCATTATATTTCATCATTTCAGCAACATTACTGCAGCCAAAATAGTAATGGTTCATATCTTCTGTTTCACAAACATCACAATCTGGTGTTTCACTTACGTTGAGCCTAAAAAGCCTTATTTTACATAGAACTTACCCGTGAAGATCAGGGATAGAATAGGTCTACAGCAACCCATGCTTGCCGTAAAAGGCGACTATGCTTGTCGTAAGAGGCGACTAACGGGATAGGGTGGTCAGACTCGCTGACTTGGTTTTTCCATGTCATCGATTCAAATTGCGTGGATCGATGCTCATGATATATATCACTGGATTGTCTGGTCCAGACTCGATTATTTACAGACCGCTGTCATAAACTGGAATATTGCTGAGTGCATGGTTAAACAACAAACAAACAAAGAGCAATGTTATGTTTTCTCTTAAATGTCAGTTCCTTTAGCTTATTGGGAAGTGGAAGATCTTTCATAAAAGCAAATATCTTGCCCGTCTTTGATGAGTCTACAAACTTTTAAGGCACCGTGATTTTCTTTTTAATCAAATTTGAATAAAACGTTGTAAGTTCATTTATGATCTTTCCCTGCAGTTGTGAAGTGCGCCCTGTTGCGCTTTTAATAGCTCTTGTAATACTATTATAATATGTATTGGTAATATTCAGATTATATGTGTGTTGTAGTTCTTGTTTTGTCATTATCTTTCCACTATCATCCAACAAATCTCTAACAATTACAATTTTTTCCAGATTCTGTCCAACATTCATTATGTAAAGACCTTTTAATTATTTTGACCATCTTCTTGTTCCCTATGATTTGGTTGGAAATATCATTTTCTATTTCTGCAATGTCAACCCAGCAATCATCATTACATCTCAAAAGAAATGGCAGTCCACCTACTTCATCAAAACACAAATCTGGTGTCAACTTCCAACAGCCGCTGGAAGAAATGAATGGTGTTATCCATACCTAGCAGCCTGTCGGGAGTCGCCGGTGCCATGGCTACTGGTAGTAATATTGCAAAAGATACGGTATTTATTAGATTGTTGGTATGATAAATCAGACGTACTAATACTTCATTATAAACGGTAAGTTGTAATCTTATAATATTCAGTTTGTGTTAATGGTATTCCTCAACTAATTCCTTTGTACTTTGTTTTGTTTGACCATACTTTTATCAATAACCGTGTAATTGTCGCTTCAATGTGATAGAGCCTCTGATATTTGAAATATGTAACAGTTGACCAACAGAATGTCAGCAAGAAGAATTACAAACACAAATGTATGGAAGAACGAACAGTGTATACAGATGGTTTCCGACCAAACTCCTCACATGGCCTAAAATCTAGAAACTTTCCGAAACATTTTCTTAGACCAGTGTAGATTAAACAACGCATTGTATCCCCCCCGGCATATACTGCGGGGGGATATAGCTATGGGCATGTCCGTCCGTCTGTCAGTCCGTCCGTCTGTCTGAATCGTTTCAGGAGCAGAACTCGAAAACCGTTAAATTTTTCTTCATCAAACTTTGCTTTTATATCACTTAAGTGGGGAAGTTGTGCCTTTTGCTATTTTGGAATTTTTCCAATTTTTTTTATTTTCCAATTTTCATGAAAGCATGCTGGACATAGGCTAATTTTGTGAGTGATGTTTGTTTCCGGAGCAGAGCTCCGAAACTGTTAAAAATTTCTTCATCAAACTCTGCATTTATATCACTCAAGTGGTGAAGTTGTGCCTTTTGCTATTTAGGAATTTTAGAATTTTTTAATATTTTTACGTTTCCGTGGCAACAAGTTGGACTTAGGTTCTATAATGGTGGTATTCATTGCCGGAAGGGTGGTGTTCATTTCCGGAGCGTAACTAAAAAAACGTTAAATACTTTCTTACAAAACGTTGCATGTCTACCAGGCACATACTGAAACGTATTTTATTTTCTTTTTTACGTTTCAATGGCAACAAGTTGTACTTAGGTTCTATAGTGAAGAGTTCGTTTCCGGAGCATAACTCAAAACCCATTCAAAACTTTCTAACAACACTTTGCATGTCTATCAGACTCATGCAGAAGTGGTACCTTTTGCTATTTAGGAATTTTATACATTTTTATTTGTTACGTTTCCATGGCAAAAAGTTGGATTTAAGATTTAATATAAGGTGGGTTCACTTATGGAGTATATATAACAAATAAACTGTTAAATATTTCCTTGCCAAACATTACATGTCCATATATAAACCACATACTCAACTGGTGCCATTTGATATTAAGGAGTTTTAGAAATGTTTATTTTAGAATTTCCATTGCAGCTATTTTGACATGGGCTAAGAGAAATGTTGGGTCAGTTACCTGGTTTGGGGCCATAACGTGTTCAATGGGCGGGGCATATAGATTACTTTGTTGACTATACTATTGTTTAGTTATTGTTTCTTGTAATTTGTCATTTGTTTGCATAAAAAACCACAGAAACACACTTGTTTTACTTTCCATTTCATATGGATGCGACCATGGTGGATGTTTTGTGGGTAAACAATGTATGCTTCTTCAAGAACATTCAACTCTTGACTCATTACATACAGAAATGCACATTTACTTGTGGTTACTTTACAGACAGCTGCCGGAGGGATATGTCATCTTTCTGATGACTCTTGTTTTATTCGGCTTGTCCCAAATACATGGCTTCTTACAGGCTGAAACAAGATAGTGTCAGATCTTCTGCAGTTTGGGTTCCTAAATTCTTCATAATTAAGTATTCCCTCCTCTTTTTCAAAACAATGAACCAAAAAACGGGAATAAACAAAATATTCAAAAGAATAACCGATTCCAAATATAACTAAGTGAAACAATAAAAAGATATATCCTGAATAGATCTTTGCTTGAAATTCCGTTCCAAAGGGCAATCGAGGTCAAAACGTTAAAAATGAATTTGGAAAATGCTAAAATCAATTCTCAATTCCTTGAGGTAAAGATTTGGAAAGGAAGGAAAAGACCGTGGGACAAGAAAAATAATTTCCTAAAATAAAATAAGCTGTTAAAAACTGATGAAATTAAATGCAGCCAATGGTATTTATTAGGAAAGACCCGCCATGGATTCCAGTGAAAGGGTTTGGTAACAAGTTTGGTCAAAACCTGGCATCTACGGACACGAGAAACCTTGGGTAGATGATTACAATAAAATGTACATGAAAAATACGGTCACCATTGTTGTGTTTCATTACACAAGATGAGCTGGAAAAAAAGTAATTAAAAGTCAAAATATATTACGGTGTCAGGGTTTTGAAAACTCCTCTCATGTGTCCAAACACCATTACTTAAAAGTTCTCTTGTGGACAAAGGGAATGTTCCGCCTTGGTACTGCAAATACTTCTTCCAAAGTAAGGTGATCTGACTGACCATAAAAACTTCCGCCATATTACTTGTCTGAATACACGGTACACAATATGTACAGGGTGTCTAACAGATCTTGTGTTATCGTACTGCGTTTCCGAAGACATTATTTTCATGGAACTGAAAGGAGCCAGAACGGGATGTTGGGGTTGTAATAATCAATTGCTGGTTCAGAAAATGATCCTTGAAGTGGCTACAACTTACCACCGTAACCTCTCAATGTCCTGGATTGACTACACAGAAGCGGATGGTTCTATTCCGTACCTCACTGACAGGCATTGACCAACCCAAGCGACTACTTGTTTTACTCAAGTCTAGTGAATTCCTGGTCAACTCAACTGGGGCAGGTGGTGACTTCGGAACCAATTCTATAAGAAGAGGAATATTTCAGGATGATCTTTTTACTTTTCTCTTTGCCACTAAAACCTTTCAGGTTTTTGGCTGAGCAAAGAGGAAGGTGTTCACCCTGTGAACCTACTCAGAACAGCGGCCCAACACCCCTTACTCACCTCCTTTACAAGGATGACATTGCCAAGGGAGAATCCACACCAAACAAAACCCATTCTCCTTGTCAGGTTCTTTTCTAATGATACTGGCAGGTCCTTTGGACTCGACAAACGCACCATTCTTCATCCTGCAAGAGGGAGGATCAGTCAGTTTACTTGGGGGAGGAGTTACTGACCATCTCGTGGAAGGTCAGGCCTATACGTACTTAGGGACACAAAGGGACACATTTCAGAATGCCAAATAAAGGACAAACTACGGGCAGGGTACACATGTACACTTAAGACAATATGGAGTTCAGGGCTGAACGCAATAAAGTTAAAGCCACAAATACTCATGCTGTACCCGTCCTTTACAGATTAAAATAAAATTTGCAGCCTTCTGCATTACCCAGATTGTCAGAAGGGCGTGAAATTTCGAAAGCGAGGTCTGCATATTTGCCATGTTTTTTCCTGAATCTTGTCAATCACATCAGTGTCAATTGAGACAGAAAACTCAATTATGTAAAGGATTTCATTGGATTTATAAAAAAAGACAAGGTCAGGTTTGTTGGCCTGGAGAGGTCTGAGGCTTTATGCGGGCCTATTCCCATTTTGTATTTATCATTTTCCATGACGCCCTCCACATATCTGGGTCGTACCATGGGAGGACCTATGTGTCAAAACCACAAGCATGGCGAAGACGGCAATAAAACCATCCATCGTGTCGCTTTCGATTTTGTGTTTGTGCCAAAGCTGGTCATCCACTGACAGATAACTGCATTGTCTCGTTAAATTATTGCATATTCCACATTTTATATTTACATTTAAATGCAAACTTACACATTGAGGGTTTCGAGTGAGTGAGTGAGTGAGTGAGTTGGATTTAACACCGCTTTTAACACTATTCCAGTTATATCGCGGCGTGTCAGCTTAATGTGGGAGGAAAGCCCGAAGTGATGCAGGTCTCAAACGTTTACCACTTCGGTGAAACCCACGAGCACGGGTATGGTGCTGACAAACCTAGAAACATAATTGGGGCGAAACGGGATTCGAACCCACCATCATAGGTTTCTGGCATGCCCAAGGGACGCAACTCTGCACAGCGAATCGCAGCGCCTGAGACGACTGGGCCACCCGTGCCCCCTGAGGGTTTCGAGGGGGAAGTGACTGGTGCTGAGGACTCTGAAGGGTTGGTGGTCTTCTCAACACACTGCACATAAACTGCACATGCAGTGGTTGTTCGGAGAGAAATCCCCGGAGAGAAAACCGAACATGTGCAGATTTGATATGGCACTTCGCTTGGTTCACACTCATTTCTGTACCGTCCAGCAGTACAGAACCATAGTCATCGAGTTAAAATATATCACATCCGCATTATTTCAGCCACATAGCGATACAGAA